CAACTCTTTTTATTTATTGTCTAACCAATTTTCCAATTTATCATTTTCCCCTCTCCCTTTTGCTATTTCTTCCTGAACATTTTGTATTCTTCAAATCATATGATTATTTTCTCTATTTCAAAATCCTTTATTATTTTGTTGCCATTTATCTTTAAGGGCTTTTTGAATCACTTTTAGTCTTTGTAAAAGAACAGGCAATTTTTCTTCAGAGGTCAGGCACCACCAGCTTTTTCCTGATCTAGCTAATCTTTTTATTCAAGGGGGAATTTCCCTAAGCCGAGTAGTTTTTCCTTATACCAAACTTTAGTCTCAATAGTTCCTTGTTCAGGGTTAAAATCATAAACTCCTGTAAAAGGCAGAAGGGCATCTAGAGATTGCATGCTATCTTTTCACTTTTGGGGAAACCAAGCCTCATTATTAATCATAAATGCAGGTCCAAACGGGGTCATAGTCATAGGAGGAAGTCGTCTATCTTTTTACTTTCGTTTTGTTTCAGGAATATAATAATTCTGCTAAAGGCAGAGATTTCCCGGGTTTAGTTTCCCATTCCATCATCAGAGTTGGTTATCAGAATACTTAAAGAGAAGGTTATACAAATTACAAAAACCAGGAGTAATTGGGGAAAGGATTTCCACCAAAAGAGCAGTGGCCATTGGCTTTCAGCTGGAACTTTGTCAGACAGCACTCTTGCCAAGAACCACGGAACTCTTGGAGCCACCACAAGAGTAATCTGAAAGAGCAGATTCTCAGAGCAGTGTGGGTCCCCTCTTAGCTAAAATGGAAGCTAACTGTCAGGCTGAGGCATTGCTATGATATAGCAGCACATAGCACCATGACATTCCAGTTATACATCTGACAGAGTAGTGTCTAGAACATATAAGGAACTGAAAAGAACCAAACCTCAAGAAAAGAAACAACACAATAAAAAATGAGCTATGCAACTGAATAGAAAGTCCTAAAAAGAATACAAATGGCTAGCAAACAGCTTTTTAAAGTATTCGACATCCTTAGCCATGAGAGGAATACTTATGAAAATGACCTGAAGATTTTGTCTTCCCTCAGTCAGAATGGCTATCACCAAAAATACAAATGAGAACAATGCTAGTTGTGGGGAAAGTGGCATTCTTCACAATGCTGGTGAGAGTGTAAATTGGTGCAACCAATTGGTAATCAACCTAGAAGAGCCTCAAAAACTAGAAATAAAAAAACCTTATAACCCAGCCATATCAATCTTGGGTATATAAGGGCGATAGGGGAATGAAGGGCCTCCACATCCTACTAGAGAGATATTTGCACATCATTATTCACTGATGCTGTGTTCATAATAGCTAAGAAATAGAATCAGCCTAGATGTCCATCAACTGATAAATGGATAAAGAAAATGTGGTAAATGGAATGGAAAACATAATGGAATTCTAGTCAGCTGTAAAAACACATGAAATTAATTAAAAAACAATTTATTATTTTTTATCATATGTGTATGAGTGTATTGCCTGCATGTGCGTAAGTACACCCATGTTGTTCAATGCCCATAGATGTTAGAAGGCATCAGATTCCCTGGAAATGGAGTTACAGACGACTGTTAGCTGTCATGTAGATGCTGGGAATTGAACCCAGGTCCTCTGCAAGAGCAGCCAGTGCTTTTAAACACCGAGCCATCTCTCCAGCCCTGAAATTATGAATTTTTCAGGTAAATAGATGAAAGATGAAAAAAAAAAACTGAATGAGGTAACCCAGGCCTGGGAAGACAAGCGCTGCATGTCCTTTCTCATAGATGGAGCCTAGCTTTAAGTCTTCAGCTATGTATATTTAACCTGGAGTATCTGTGGAAGCCAGGGAGGCTATCAAAGGATCAGTGGGGTGGGGGGAAGTTTTAAGGGAGAGGCGATAGTAGAACATAGGTAAAATGAAAGTAAAGAAGGGGATTATTGGGGTGGAAAGGGTTAAATGGGGAGGGTGATAGGGGAATGAGAGAAGTGAAGGGCCTCCGGGAGCAGGGTTAAACAAAACAAAGAGTGTATGAAAAAGTCATATAGAAACATACTATCTTCTAACCCAATTTAAAAATATAAAAAAAGAGTTTGAAGGAGATACTCTGTATGGCCAGATAATGTTGCTTCTAGAAGCAGCAAGTTACTGAATAAAAATTCCAATTCCCGTTGTGGTATACCTCCACGGGAATTGCTCGTCAGTGAGGCCCCAGAGGTCCCTCAAAACAATACAGGTCCTTCCACTGGGTTTGCCCACTAGAAGGACCCTATTGCTGACCTTGGTTGCAATATGAACAGAAATCAAGCTAGAATTTAGCTGGAAACCTCCTCCATGCTGGCTAGCTTTCCAAATGTTGAAAGATCCTATGCAGGCTTTTGGAGCAGCAAAAGTGCTCCCATGATGAACTCTAGGCACCACACCAGCAACCTGCCAAGCAAGATGTTTCCACATGTGCCACAGAGGCATGACTGTTACAAGGGTAACCAACTGATCTCTGATTGGATTTTAGGCCCTCTCCACTGAGTACCCATGCCTAGTACTGTCAGCCATGCCCCGAGAGGCCATAGGTCCTAAGAGAGAAATTACTATCAGTGTTTAACTAAACAGAAGAAAATGCCAAACTGCTTCCTAAATAGCTATGTTTATATCCTTAGTTAAAGACTAGTCTCAGCTCTCATCAGTGAAGCCCCTTTTCACTGGAATGCAGACTCATGGCTGCCTAAGTGACAGAGAGGGCTAAGTCCTACACAGGTAATTTGTACTATCCCTTCTAAGGTATAGTGCAGAAGAATGCACGTGAAGAATGTAGGGCCCAGGAGACAGCGACCCCCTCCCCCAGGCCTCCTCACCCCCCAGACCCCCCCTCACAACATAGCCAAAGTGATCATGAGCTGTAAACAGCTATGATGAGTTGCACGGGGCGGGAACAAGAAGACAGGTCCCCTCCACTGTCCGTGACAGGGAGAGGTTCGAGGCCCCCACCTACTGCTGATACTGAGCTATCAGCTAATGAAGCACAAAATCAGAACAAAAGCGAACACTGAGACTGGTGTGAGGGTGCTGAGACTGGTGTACAGGTGCAACTTCCGCATTCCTCCAGGAGGGGGGTGCACTCGTGGGGCTTCCGGTAACGAAATGCTCAACCGCACAGGAATAAATCACTTCCTAGTGCCACAAGAGATTAAGGAGCTCTCTGACTGTCTCAAAGATCCGCAGGGACCTCGGCAACCAGCATGGAGAAGTAACACCCGCCACCGGCCTTTGCCGGGCGACCGCGGCGCACGCCAATGACGTCACGCGCCGGACGCTACCACTGGAAGGTGTGCATACCAACCCCGCCGGGGCCCTACAGCCGACTCACCTTCCCGTCTGCGTGGAAAGGGAGGCTCAGGTCGTTGGCCGGCGGCGGGGGTCGCGCGCCAGGCTCCTCCACAGCTCCCGCTGCGAGCCCAGCGGTGGCAGCGGCCGCGTCGTAGTCGGGGAAGGGGTTGGGGAACGCCCGCTCCTCCATCTCCGGCTCGCCCAAGTGCAGCCGCAGCCTCTTGGACATGGTCTCGCCCATGTCGGCCGCGCGCTCGCCCCGCGGTACGGCGCTCCGTTAGGGACCTGCTTCTCCGGAGGCGTTTCGGCGCGGGCTGGGCGAGGCCTGTCTCCCTGCGGGTGGCTGGCACATCTGCATGCAGCCTGCCGGGTCTGCGCACCTGCTGGCCCCACCTGGAGCTGCTGGAGCCCGGGCACCTGGGAAGCTCACGTGCGGCTGCGAAACCTTCGAGGATGGCTTCATCCACTGGACTCCGGAGAGTGCATCTTCAGACCGCCTGCATGTTCGGCAGCCCTTGCTCTCCGCCCTGGTGGAGCACCGGCCGCGGGAACACAGCTGCTTTGTTAGATTAAAAAGGCCTTTTATAAAGAAAAGAATTCCACAACTGCCTGAAATTGCGAAAGGATACCCTCCCGAAGGAGGGGGATGCAGTCCCTCCCATTCATCACCATGGGGGGGGGGTGTCTTGGAGGAGGAGCCACAGGCTTTTTTTTTTTTTTTTTTAACTTTTCAGTCCCTTTGTTTTGAGTAAGTGCATATTTTTTTTTTATAAGGAGAGCTCATGTGGAAACATTTTTAATCATCTAAATGTTTTATAATACTAAGGAATCCATCCAATATTAACATAATTGGCCAGCAGAATAATACATATCACAAAAAGGACACAAGCAAGTAAACCTTTGCGTTTATATAATTACAATAGATAACGCACGCTTTTACTGGTTCTGTGTCTTTCACAGTTTACGTGGAACCAAATCTATATAATGATTTCTCCTTGAAGGAAATACCGTATTTCAGTTTTCTTCCATGTAACAAACACTGCTTGGTGATGAAAAAATAGACTAAAAAGTTTTGCCTCTCAGTTAGTGGGCAAGAAATGAATCACAGCAATGCCTATTGTGTATAATTTCCTGAATCCAAGCAGGGTACATGCTAATATGATGCCAAAAGGAACATCCTAGAGAACATTACCAAACATGGGACATTTCCATCACTCCGGCCTCAGAGTGGAGTGCTGCGAAGGTTTAGTTTCCCATGCCTGTCCTGTCATAGTTGTATACTCCACCCAACCCCACGATTACATATATGAAACACCGTACTGAGTACATTGTTCATGGGAAGATATGCTACCAGAGTTAGTTTCAGACCCTGTGCCCTGGCAGCCCTAACAAGTTACACTTAGCCACCTGTCCTTAATAAGACATAACAGTGAAAGAAAGAAAAAGGAAATCTAGCCAGACTGGGAAGGCCAAAGACACACACCTCTACCTAAGAGATATGCCTGCATTACTAAGCAGCCCAGATCCGGATGTGTACCCCCCTACTGTTAATACATCATACTGTCCACTTCTGTATCTTCTGTATGGTGTTCCAACATGAGCTGTGAAATCTCTGGGAAAAAATTCCTCCTCTTCTAGCACCAGGTTTCAGCCTTCCGGCATAAGGATGGGAAAATTCCAATTCCTTGAAGGTCCTGGGAAAATTCCAATTCCTTGAAGGTCGCTGTTAGAGTAGTCTGGTAGCCACGGGAGGGCACACAGTATCTCCTCAACATATCTTCATTCCTGCCAGGCTGCTTAGAAGTACAATGTTGTAAGACAACTATGTCAGAAACATATATGTTTTTCTACAATGTCAGAATTTATTGAATAAATTTACAGGGATTGGCCTTTTAAATGGCAGCACTTTGTCAGATAATCCTATTTTGGTAATCTGGCTGTGGCAAATGTTTTATTCCAGTCTTAACTAATATTAACTCTCATATCACACAGCACACAGTAAATCTACCTGTAACAGTTCAAGAGGTTTCAGAAGTGTTCTGATAGAAATATAAATAGAGTCCCCCACACTCCCAGACCTAGCCTGATAACTGATTCTCACTATTCATCAAAGCAGCTTCTTTTGCAATAGTTGGAAACCTAACAGAAATCCACAACTGGTCAAAATGCAGAGAATAAGTAATAGGGGCCTGCACAGTGTCAGTTTATACGCCTACAGTGTATTTCGTACACCTAAGGCTCAGGAAGCATTGAGGAAGAGTCGGGGAAGGAGTCCAAGAGCCACAGGACCAGAACACCTGCTGCTAGACAGTGTCTTCTAGGCATGACACCCATGAAATCTCAACAACATGGTTGTCTAAACAGGAAGTGCATAATGACACCACCAGTCAATATGACATGTGGATGGGGGTAGTTTCACAGGACCCCACTCTTAGATGAAGAATTACAGGCACTCAATGGCTGCTGAAGGGAGACTCAGTCTTCTTCAGGGACAACTCATCTGATGGGTTATCCAATTCCAAATAGTTGGCTGTAAACACAAGCACATAAGAGGAACACTGAGTGGGCTCAATAGGGTGTGTACATGTGTGTGTACGTGTGTGTGTGTGTGTGTGTGTGTGTGTGTGTAAAACAATAATAAAGAAGAGGTCACAAGGGAGTGGGTGAGAAGGGCTGAAAATTATGTAAATACAGTACTTATGTAAGAAATTCCCCAAACATTTAAGAAAAGGAAAAAAACACAGATATTCTTACTTAAAAAGAAAAGAAACATTCAAGTAGTCTGTATTGATAAAGAGATGCTCAATAAGTTTGGGCTTCAAGCTTTTATAGGGAATGTGAGCCCTTTGGTGCACTGAGGTTTTTAATGTGTTGCTTTTATGTAATGTGTGTAAGTTGAGTGTTCCCTGTATATGATACAGGGTTCTGGTGATGCTGACATTCAAAGATTGGAATGAGAGCTGGAGAAATGGCTCAGTGATTAAGAACACTGTTCTTCCAGACAACCTGGGTTTGATTCCCAACACTCACATGGAGGCTAACAACTGTCCATCCATAACTACAGTTCCAGGAGATCTGATGCCCTCTTCTGGCCTCCTCAGGCATTGTGTGCACATGGTGCTCTTACATGCATGCAGGCAAAGCACTCATATATATAAAAATAATAAATAATAATTTTTTAAAAAGAAAGATTGAGCTAGGTATGGTGGCTCATGCCTTTAGTCCCAGCACTTGGAAGACAGAGGCAGGTGGATCTCTGCAAGATCAAGACTTGCCTGGTCTGCATAGTGAGTTTCAGGCCAGCTGGGAATTTTTAAAAATTGGAATGATATATCTGGGTCTATATGTATAGGTACCTTTTTTTTAATAGAATTAGATTATGTTGAACTGGGTGTTGTATGGGGAATTGTATATAATTCCATAACCCATCTACTGGTGATCATATAAAATAATAATTTGTAAGTCCCGAGTTTTCTTCAGTTATTTTGTTAAAGTTTTGTGTCTTAAATGTGCTAACACAGAGCTTTTGTTGTTGTTGTTATATAATATTATTTTTATGAACTTGAGGAAAAGAAAATTTTATATCTTGTTATATTTATTCTGGTCAGTGTATTAATACTAATGGATATATGTGTATATATAATATACTATATAAGTATCTATATTTGTAATAAGTTTACCTTAAATTCAGTTAAAGTATTATTTAGTAAGCTTTGCATGTTGGGGAATATGGTTTCACCATTGTTAATGGTGAATTTGAAAGTAATATGTCATAATTTGAAAATTATACTTTATAGGTTATGTCCAACCCAATGGACTTAAAAATTATATACTGAATGCAGTAAGAAATTATGTTGGTCTAGGGATGTGGCAAAAGTAGGATTTTCTTTAGGATCTATGACCTCTCCAGTCATGTGTATTTGGCTATATTTACAGTACCACACATACATTCCTTTCCACTGAACAGGCCTTAATTCCATTTAGACAGCTGTTGATTACCCCCAAGATGAAAGTGCCATTACTGCACCAGTAGTGATAGTTTGCTGGGCCAGTCTTTCTTGGTTGTTGTGCTTTACAGCTGGATAGGACAACTGTTTGATTTCCCCCTGGAAGCTTGCGTAGTGTCCTCTGATACCATGAGAGCTAGTCTTCAGGGAGAAGCCTTCGAGGTCGGTTCCAGCTCCATTGTTCCAAGTCCTATGTCCAAAGTATGTCCTGTCTTCAGTAATACAGTTTTATCTTTAAATTATGGAAGGCAATCAAGGGCTGTGGCAATAGCCCTTGTTATTTTGGGAGTCTCTTAGACTACCCTGACCAAAAACTTGAAGGGAGGTTTCTCTTGCCTGGCATTGGTTTTTTTTTTTTTTTTAATATAGCCTTACACACACACACACACACACAAACAGAAGTTAAAACATTTTTTCTCTTGTAACTCAGTAATTTATTTTTAGTTTTTGTTTGTTTTTGTTTTGTGTTTTGGGGGTTTTGTTTTTGTTGTTGTTGTTGTTTTTTGGTCTTTTTGAGACAGGGTCTCCCTGTAGCCCCAGCTGGCCTGGATTCGCTATGGAGACCAGGCTGGCCTTGAACTCATAGAGATTTGCCTGCTTCTGCCTCCCAAGTGCTCGGATTAAAGGCATGTGCCACCATGTCCGGCTTTTTTTTTTTTTTAAGAGTTCTACATGCTGATTTCCATAGTGGTTGCACCAGTTTGCAATCCCACCAGCAATAAATGAGGGTTCCCTTTCCCCACATCATCGCCAACATTTGCTGTCATTTGTTCTCTTGATTTTAGCCATTCTGTCTGGAGTTAGGTGAAAGAGTAAGGCAGTTTTGGTTTGCATTTTCCTAATTACCAAGAAGGTTGAACAGTTTTTAAAGTGTTTTAGCCATTTTTATTTCTTCCTTTGGGATCTCTCTGTTCAGATCTATAGCCCATATTATAAAATTTGTTTTCATTGCATTTTTGTGTATTTCATACAGAATATCTCAAACATTCTTAATCATTTTTATACTCCCATCCCCGTGGGCACTCTCCCATAGCCCTCCCCCCTTAGAACCCATATACCCTGTCATCTGGTTTAAGGTGAAGGAGAGTGCTCCTCAGACCCCCTCCCTGTCCTCTGAGAAAGAGCTGTCCTCTGCCTGACTCTGGAAATCCCCTAGATTGTTCAAACCCTTTCCTGGCACATCTGTTTATGGTTTCTATGGAAATGATCCGGCGCAGAAGAGGAAGAACGTTCTGCAAGTCTATCCACTGAGGTCTAGTCAGCCTCTCTAGAGTCACTTGCTTTAAGAATACCAGTTCTTCCTCACCTAGCAGCAATCATTGCCAATATTTTTTCAGCTAAGGCTGGGGTACACTGTTCATTTCCCTACTTCTATGTTGGCTTTTATGTCTGCCTGAGTTTGCATGAGACTTGTGTATGCTTACACCATTGCCATAGAATCATATGAGCAGGTTCCCAGGAGCTTGTAGGACTCTGTTTCCATATGGTCATGCACATCCTCCATGGCTCTTAAAATCTTTCTGACCCCTCTTCCAAGATGCTCCCAAGCCCTGCGTGAGAGAAGTTTAATATAGGAGTCCTGTCCAAGAACCAGCATTCTGCTGACGTTTTGGACATTTGTGACCTTTTGTGTTCCTGACCCTCTATTGCATGAGGGA